GTTGTTACAGTACTGACATGAGAAAACCATTAAACATATTTTCTAAGTCCTATGAACTCCTTGATCAAGTAGTGGGTTCCCTTTACTGTGGCATATTGGGGGGCCTGATGGACAGTTCCTCCACCCTCAGTCCCCATGTGTAACCTAGGTAAGATGGGCGGTTTCTATGAAGACAGCTTTGCACTGGCCACCTATTTGCTCAGTCCATTTCACCTCTGCACAGAGTCCAGTGAATACCGGTGGAGTTTTTTTATGGATGAATAGAGGGTGAAAATTAGTCTATAACTTTCATTTTAGATTAATAGAAATAAGATAATAGATATCATGAGGAGAATATAATTTAATGCCTGGAGTTTTTCCCTTATCTGTTTAATTTAGGATATATTCTATCAGTGTGGTGATCTTAGTCTTTGATACTAAGTAAAGCACAGCTGGAACAGTCTCATAATACCATTATGTTGTCAACACATGAAAATAATGGGACTAAAAGTATTAGAGAGCCAAAGAGTATCTCGGATTCTGTAGTTATCTTTCACAGCTTAATACTTATCTAGCATTTTACAAAATTGATGTTACAATTTCAACTCTGTTTAGTACTGTCATTACTGGACTCAAACCCAAATTGCTTTCAGCTGCCCACCGCAACTGCACCTTATTAGCCTTTTCACGGAAGCCAATTTATGCAAATCCAGTATAAGTTAAATAATTAAACTGACCCTCAACATTCATGTATAGACAGTGGCACTAAAAGATGCAAGAGAAATTTAAACCTCCCATCTTCGGTCTTAGGCCCCTGTCTTTTCCACTGCAGCAGCACAATGACTGTATACATCTATCTGAATCCATCTATTAAAAAAAAAGAAAGTGCATTAAAAAAATTAAACTGGCAACTGCTGTGCTTTTATAGCTCTGCTTTTCTCACTCAATCTGGTTTTACACTGAATTTTGAGATTTTGCACCTATAAACCACTACTGGCTACTTTCAGCTTTTGATTAAATCAACAGTGACAAAATCTGGCTGACATGGAGCCTCTCAGTCCAGAAATTCTCTTTTATGCAGACCTTTCTCCATTTTAATTACTACAGTTTTATCCCCTGAAGCTGCAGAGATGAAGACTTAGATGCACAGTTCATGGTTTTCCACAGCGTTTTAGCAACACTGGGACACCCAGAATGCAGTAAAACGCAGGGGAGTAGTGAATGAGAATAACTTTTCAATACTGACTGCTGGACACATGCACTGCTGGACTACAGCTTCCCTGCAGCTCGACTAGGGCAAGGCAGGCAAAAATTATGTTCCCACACAGCAGAGCTGAAGAGACACTCTTACACAATTTATAAATGTAAAACTGAAGGTGACAAACAAAAATGAAACTATTTAGATGGGGATGCAATAACACCCACCTCTGTAGCTAGTAAAGAGAAAAAGGTCATTTTACATAACAATTCTGTGCTACTGAAAATGCCTGGTTGGAAGGTACAAAATAACTAGCACTTTTTGCCATTATAGTAGTAACTGTCACCTCTTCAGCTTTATTCTGTTTTACACAGCTGAGCTGACCCAAATGACGCCATCATCTCTTTGATTGGTTGGGCTGGTGTCAGTTGCTGACTTAAATAGACACAGAAGAAAGAATTCAGCATCCTGCAATTGAAATTCAGGATTGCTGGGATGCATGTGCGTGTGGTGAAGCAATACAAATAAAGACCACTTTCTGTTTTGCTTCAGTGAATTGTCAAAGAGATTTAGAAAGCCAGGGGATCTCATTATGGTAATACAGGTTAAATACTTTAAAAGCATATGGTGTTACCATCCTGAATGAAGCTGTCCCTGCTGGCTCCAGGAAGCAGACAATAGGCCAGAAACACATCTTGTGTCTCTGGTCCACCAATGGGAACTGGGGATTATAAATCACCGCAAGAAAACATTGTGTGCTATCTGGTATCAGGTAATGCCTTGTCTTTTCAATTACTATTTGATTCATCCTTCTCCAGAGAGCAACAAGCTTTAGCCATGTGTTCCACTGGCCAAATAGAAACGGAGCTCTAGAGTTTCTTATGGTCCTTGTCTAGATAAAACTGTGTCTGTAGAGATGGGTGACTATAATATATACAATATAACTCAACAATACATGTAGAGATGGGGAATGCTTCCACCAAGATGCTTCCTCCCCATGGGGAAAATAATATCAGTGAAAACCATCAGGCACAAAATAAAATTTTTCTGCTTTAAAGATGCTTGGATATGGCCTAAAGGTTTGTTTCCTTTCTCCACCAAAGGCTGCATCTAATTCACTGCTGACAGGTTCTTCTGTGTGCAATGGAGCTCATTACCACATATTTGCTAATTTTCTCCAGTAGGGAGCAGCCTCAGCATTGACCTTGGTAACTCCAAATGTTAGGTTGTTCCCCATGGGCACTGGAACTTGTCTCTTCTTGGAGCCCAAGATGATGCAGTCTGGTCCACAAAAACCCTATTAGTAATCTGAGCCACTGGCTATGATGTTATCTGATCATGCTCACTGACATTTTAATGGCTTGTGCTGTTTGCCTCCATCCCTCTAGCTCTACTTGCCTTGTTTACCTGTTTACTTCATGGCCCTGGAGAGCTACTGCCATCTTTTTTTTGCTATTTATGCATGTTTTTGCTTAACCGAGCCTTGTGAATGGAGACTTTAAGAGAATATTTGTAATAAATACCCCTTCCTTAATGCCACTATCCTGCTTACTGCAACTTGACACTTCTGCTAGAACAACTGACTCATAATCACCCATTTTACAGGCTGAACATCCTACTTGCCAGTCCCCATTCTACTGTTTAAAATCACAACACCTGCTACTCACCAGATCTCCTTTTCACATAAGCAAAACTGTAGTCTTTTTTCCCCAACTCCTTTCACTCTCCTACACTAATTCATACCTCCACTTGCTTGGTGGTCTCAGGCCTTTAAAGATTTCCACTAATTTTAGCAATTCCTCACCCAAATCCAGTTTCCATGTTCACATATTTTTGCCTCTCCTGCTATTTTAGTTGCACCTCAATAATCCCCAGCTCTCCACATAGTACAAAGAAGAGGACTTCTGCTTGGTGCTAACACTTTTCCAGCATTATCCACTGCTCCCCATCTCATATCACAAGACAAATACTGGAACGGGGAGCTGATATATCATTCCACTGTAAGCACCTAACACAACAAAGTCCCAAGCCACAATAGAAAACTGTAATCAATAATGTATATGTCTGAACATTTGTTAAGTGGCGTCAGACTTTACACAATGAAACGTGCTATTCTGTATTAAAACTGTGGCTGAGCAGCCATAACAGTACAGTGACGTATGTCAAGGTACCTATGGTTCTCTCTTTCTGTTTACATACAAAAAAAGTAATCTGCATCTGCTCAAATAGATATTCTGTAAGAATAATCCAATGGTTCTCTTTTGTGCTATTTTACACGCTCATTTGCACATGCAAACTTTCTTCTGCATATTGTAGAAATGAAAAATTATATTTGTTTGGAAGCAACAGAAAGGAAATTCTGTACATGAGAATTGAGATTCTGCACATTAGCTTCTATACAAAAGGTCTTTAGCACAGATGTGCACATTCTAAATTTACTTTAGATGGATGATATGTCATGTTAGAACAGACAAGGTTGAAGAGATGTCTGCAGGGACACAGCCCCAGGAAAAAGTAGGGATTAGCTTGTCAATAAAGATGTAAACAGACTGCTCTGAGGCAGCCTCATTTCTGACATTAGAGAATCTTAAATGGTTTGCTGGCAAAGAGTTTGTGCAAAAATTGGGGCAGACTGTCAACACTGAAACCTATTCATTCCAGTTTTTCAGTAGTTACTGCCTTTCAGGCAAAGAGACTCCATAATATTACAGGGTTAAAAAACAATTGAACATAAACACACAACAGTAAATCCAACTGTAATTAATTTGAGAAAGTTATATCTGATATTGTAAAAGGCAGACAGCTAAAGACAGACATGAACTACATTTCTATGAGACTATGTCTTCAAATAGGTACATAAGCACATGAGCATTTAGCTCCTAGAGCTTCTGTAACAAGCTGTTATAATGGACTGAACATGCAAAAGCAACTGTGACTTTAAAATAAGTAAATAAAAAACGGCAGACATTGGTTTTTTGGATGAAAAGAATCCGCACTTTAAGTATTTTGTGAAACACTGTGGTATGAAACCATTTAGAGAAGCATAATAAACAGAGCTCCTATATAAGGGAATACTGCTTATCTGGGAGACTTTGTCAAGTGCTAAATTCTACTGAACAAACACTAGGGTGATGCATATAGGAAGAAAATTAATGCCATGATATAACATCCACCATTCCCTTACTGTAATTTGGTAAGTAACGTCTCTACTCTCCAGCCCTTTCCAAGTTCTATTCCACACTTAGAATACCAGAAGCCATATAACACACTATTTCACTGCTGAATAACTATGGTTGACAAGGTGGGATACTGAATGAAAGCCACTAAAGAACAGACACAGTACTAGTAGGTCAGGAATACAGAACATATTCACTAATATGACAGCACCTCTTTCTCTAGCAAGAACATCCTTCTGCCATCAAGACTACCAAACCTACTAAATCATAGAATCACAGATAGTTAGGGTTGGAAAGGACCTTAAATCATAGAACAGAATCACAGAATTTCTTATGCTTGCCCCAAACAACAGAACTGGCAAGAAGTATTTTCTCTCTGCATATCTTACCAGAGGAAAAAAAGTCAATCCAAATTAAAGGCAACCTATTGTTTAATATGCCAGCACCAACTTTTGCAATATTTTCAACCTGTCAGTGACACTGATCCTGCCCCAAAGGCCAGAAACTTACACTCATATTACCATAAGACTGCAAAAACAGATTATCAGCCTGCACATGAACAGGTGCAGCTGAATTTTATATTTTGTTTCTCTAAGGATAACTAAAGAGCATTTTCAAAGATATACCTTCCAATAATCATGTCTTACCTGCATTATCAGTTGTGAACATAGGTATTCTTCAATGTTTGCTGTTTGATACACCTTTGCCATAACTATTGTTTTTTCCAAAGGCTCTCATGCTTTCTCCAGTCTCTGGCTGTAATCTTACATTCGGTACAGTAAAAATAGAAGACACTGCAAAAAAAGAGTGTCAGTTCAGAAACTCTGATTATTTTTTTTCTGTGAAAGCAGTAATTTAAAAATAATTATTTAATATATATGGCAAACACAACACAGTAAATATATACAGCTTTTATGTCTACCAGCTATTTACGCAAGCAAGCACTGTACAAATTCTGAATGGAAAGAAGCTGCATGCATTATGATGGAAGTTGTATGATGCAAACATTCTTAGTTGGATGCAACTTCTAAAAAAACCTGTTTCCAGGTTGTGTGTGTTTATTTTTTCTGTACACCACTATATAATTAATATTTTTCACTTTCAAATTTCTGCTGAGAGCATTTAGAAAGAAATACGAATATAAAAAAATGCAGCAAAGTTTTTTCAATTATTTGATATCACATATTACATCTTGACAATCTTTGTGTCAGTAGAAATGAACTATCTTCTTTGACTTTCATTTTTGAATTGTTAAAGACAACTAGGCCTGATAAAAATATCCCAACAACTCAAAAAGTTTTTACGTAAAGCAGCCCCCTTCTGCGTGAGCTAGAAAAACCTGGACAATTTCAATGTAACACCAGGCTATTAATTACTAGTAGACATGATGTTAATAATCACAGGGATCAAACTGCATATGGTTAAGGACTAGCATATTGATAATATGAGAACTCACTTTCACTTAGGATGCCTCAAACTGATGGGGAAAAAATCAATTACTTTTAATCCCTCCCGAAAACAAACCTTCATATAACAATATCCTCAGGAGAGCTGCCACTGCATGATTGCATAAGGAAATGTCTAAGAACTAATCAAGGCTGTAACAGTTTTCTTTGGGTTTGCACTAACAACTGGCATAGCTGTAGATTTTTGAAGCTACTCTTTCATCTCTATGTCTTTAAAAGGCGTGGTTATTGTTTTATGCACAGATCTTCCCACTGCAGTTTGACACCTCAACTTCCATTTCACATTCTGCTATCCTCAGTAACATACATTGTGAATGGCATATATTCTATGCAAATAAATGAATATGAGCTCTCAATATTAAAATAGAAGAGTGGGAGGACTGATTTTTTTTTTAATAGAAAATAACAAGTATTAAGGGCTAATCTATAGATTACTGCTCAGGCCTGAGATGAATGAAAGCTATGTTACATCGTGAATTGCATTGTATTCCCACACAAGGTGTCTTCAGCAGAACTGCACTACTCTTACCTTTTTAATGTCATATTTTTAAAACCTGAAAGTAGCTACCTGTTAGACAGAGCTTATCTGGAAATTGAACTTCCAATCCAGTTGAAATGATGCCTTGACTTAAAACTCAATCAAGTAAAAAAATTGAAACTGTGCTTCTCACATAAACTAATTTTGCACACATTTCTAAAATAAACCACATTAAAAATTATAATGTAAAATATTACATAGAATACAAATATATAGCACTAAAGTCAAAACCAGAATAGAAATTGAAACACTCCATTTTCACTTTTTCAATGTAGGCATAGTAACCATACTTTTGTGAAATGCTGTGATTCCAAGGAAACAATTTTCCAATGGAAAATAATTTGACTGATTCCTCCCCTCTGCCTTTCTCCTCACATATGAGTCTTTCCTTGGTTTTTAGTGCTAAATCCCCAAATTTGCAATTCAGCATTAGGATCAAATTGGACAAAACATATTCCATGATGAACACTATTCACTAGAGAGATTTGCAGAATCGCAGTGGTGTCTGAATTTGAAAGCAGGAAATTTTGTCTGTACACACACTTCTGTTGTGCATAAAGACTCAGTATGTTTATACCTATATTTAATTAACTATCTGTAGTGTTTCCCAATGTAAAATATTAACACAGAAAACTAGAATCACAAAAACTAGTAATTTCACTACACAGTAAACATTTTCCCAACTCTCCAAAGTATATGACTTCTTTGTTTTGTAAATATGTTTACAAGTATATCCAAGTCATACTAAATAGAAACGATTGTAGTATTTGATACTGGGATTGTCCTTTCTTGCGTCTGGATTTATGCTTCATAATGATTATCTACTAGACACAGAAATAGTCTTTCTGTAACTCCAAATTTTACTGGAGGCATTTAGAAGAACCTTGCTTTAAAATATAATGATTTTTCATCTTTATTCTCCCCCCTTCAAAAGGTTTCACTGCTCCTGATGTTTAACGTTATGCAAAGACGTGTTTCTGCCAATGAATATCGCCTTATGGTTATGCTTCTGCAAATAACCTGCTGTGAGCTGATAAAAGGATTAATGCAGCCAAAATTCTTAATCTGTGAAATTACAAATTAAATTCTCATATTAAAAATACCACCCTGAGGTATTTTTTGTGGTTTTAATTCCCCTCTGGTGTTCTGCATACATTGTGCTTGTTAATGACTAGGACAAGACTGTCTCTGTTGGCAGCCTGCTGCAGAGTGATAATGTGTAGGCATTTACTTCACTGATAGAACTGGATTTAACCACTGACTGATAAACTAAGTGGCAAGTGGGTAATAAGTCCATATTAACAGAAAAGTACTACTGCAGAATTCAGAATTCAAAATCCTGGCTAGACTAAATCACACAGTCAGAAGGATTGAGATGTCACTACTGCAGAGTGATTTTTGTTTTCCATTTAGTGGAAATAGGATAAAAGAACTGGCATTCTTGATGTTTCATTAGTCCTGAAGAAATGAACCTCTGCATCAGTTTCAGCAAAGGCAGACTTTCAACAGAAGCCTTCATTTACACTGGATCCATGTTCTGCCTATCAAGTACCATGGTCAGCAAACTGAGTGGTGGGTCAACGTGGCAGAGGGGAAACTGGGAATCTTTTTGCAGAGCAAGGACACAATCTATGACAGTGATGGACAAAAATTAATGGTGCTATTTTGATTTTAATGTTCATATTTTATGAATGGGAGAGCACTCTTCAGAGCAGAACTGGGAGTAGGGTAATTGGGCAGCCAGGCCACAGAAATAGCTCAAAATGTGACTACTACAGCTGTTGAGGATGGAAAAGATAAACCTTTGGAAGATGAAAGTTTTCATACTGACGCTGATGTAAACAGATTCTATAATGCATTAATATTCAGAAAGGGAGCTCAATTTTTACAAGCAAACTTTTAAATCAGCCACAGTTACACACACATGTTCCATTGTTGCATCTCTGAACCTTCTACCTTGATGTACTGGATTTAGATCCTTTGCTAATGGATGTATATTTGAAAGCAGAAAAGAACATTCTGTGTTCCAATGCAACATGCATTTCTTTACCATACTGAGTTAAAGCAAAATGCTGCTATTGCCTCGTGAAACCTATTTTTAATAACAGAACCTTCTCTGAATAAAAAATATCATGTATGATAGTATTTTTTCCCCAGAATAAATAGTACTGTGATTTTAACACTGAAAAATTACATGGATGTGTACAATATAAAAGATTTACAATTACTAAAGAGATAATTGACAGCATACATGATGATAGGAATATTTATGCCAAGTCAACTGGAATGCGTTTTGTTTAATGAAAGAAATAAAAAGATGTATGTAAATAGTGAAAGCATTCTTAGTTAAGAATATCACCTCTTTGTGCACAGTCTAATTCATCAAATTAATTCATTGTCTACTTGGTGCTTTTCAGACTTCCGAATGCCAAGTCCTTTCTTAAAGGTTACTGTTATAACATAGAGATTCTGTGAATCAAACACAGGTGGATTTTTATCCTGCATGCTGCAGCTAGTTAAGAAGTACTGTATGTTATAAAGTGAAAAGCACTAAATATGTAAATTGTATTTTCCTTTTGCTTTATAACAATTCAGAGAATTCTATTGGCTGCACACATAATCAAATACAAAGATAGCAGGCTGCAGACTGCAGAGCAGAGATAGCAAAAAGAAAGAATCCATTTTGTCCTGTGTCAAGCTAACTATGTAATTTCAATCTACACAATCACAGTCACATATTTAGTGTGTGGCTGTGTATGTCCATGAAGCTGTCTGCGTGTGAGGGTTAGCATACACAAATGCATCTGTATGAACTAGCAATCTTTGTTTTCAAGCCATTTCAAGGTGGTTATACTCACTATCAGTTAACTCCCATAGCCGTGGGGGCAGATCACTGAAATACTCATGGCTCAGAGCTGCCTGTGCTGACAATCTGTTCTTTGGGAAACACTGGAGTAGTTTGGAGGCTAGATCTTCTGCGTGGTTCACATGGCTCAGCCTGAAACACAAACGAGAAGGTTTTTCTGAAAAACGGTATCATTATTCTGTTTACTAATTCCATGCAGTCAGCAAGTTGAAACACCAAGTCTTGATGCCCAGGAGCGTGGCCAAGAAAGCTATTCCTCAGGTTAGGGAGTTAATGAATTATTTATGTATTGACAGCTCAAAATTCATACAAATTTTACAACTACAGAGCATACAATATACCATATCACATATACCCTGCCTAGTATGCTAAAGCATCATGAGCAACAGCATCTTGAAAGCAACTGTTCTGATTCTTCCATTTAGGTTTTATTGAGCATACTGACAGACTGAAATTTACAGTGCTGGAAACAAATGCTTATTACTATCTAAATGCATGAAATCCAAGCTTACAATAACAGCAACATTTATACAACTTTGTGAGTACCAAATTTTAAAATCCAATGATGCTTAACTTGCAACATTCGCATCAGGTTTCATAAAGACATTTGTCTTTTGGGAAGTACTGACTTCTTACTTGTTCATATATTCTTATGGCAGGGGGCTGACTCTTCATTAAGTGTTAAAGCAATGCAAACATTAAACAGTAAGTGAATTATCTTTCCTAAGCTTCCTAGAGAAGTCTGAGAAAACTTATTGTTTCATTGGGAGCTGTATTCTTGGGAATATTATAAGAAAATATAATCTAAAAGTAATAGACTTGGAGGGGAGAAAGTAAAATGATAATCAGTAATATGTGGCCTGGGTCTACTAACCTACAGCTGCCTCCTACATTTCCAAAGCTACCAAACTTTTTGTAATATGCAGTCAAAAAAAAGATGCTAAATCTTGTCAATAGCATGTTGTTATTATTAGTAGGTAATTTCATAAATTCAACCATGCTCAGTAAAGATCTCTTGTTGGTTAAACACCAAAGTGTAAAAAAAGTCTCTATTCTGCAATGCACTGTTTTCCCAACTTCAGTCCAAAATACCACAGCATTTGAAAAAAAAGATGTTATCCTTGAAAATCCATAATTCTACAGCATGTTTCATGCAAATGTTCATTTTTTTTCAGCTCAAGCTGACTTTCCAGAAAACAAATTCAAGAAGATGGATTAAATAGCATTACTCTTTTACCACATTGACATGGCATAATTTATATGGATCGGTGTAAGCAGAGGTGAAAACTGCCTCTTCAACAAAGAATGGACAACACTGAAAACACTAAATGAAAAAAATAAATTGTTATTACATTGAGACCTTTAAGTTACAAATGTCATAGGGACAACTTTTTGTCCATGTCCATACTATAGTCAGTGTGAAAAATAAAATAAATTAAAAGTCAAAAGCATCTCTAGTAAATTATGTGCTGGCATATGTATGATATGCTGATGTTTGCAATCATTAAAAAAATATGCCACTGGCTGTCTTTTTAATTTCTAGCAACTGCATGCTAGATAGAAATTTGAATACTGTGCCTATCTGATCTCTTCTTGAGAACTAGCAGGATATTGATCCAGAAATTGCCCAGGGATGAATTGCCCAGGAGTGCTGACCACTTTGGGACATTGTATCTCATCAGTCATAATCTTATAGATCACCCAGGATTAGGATTCGGAATTGCTATTTCAGGTTAAACAACTGAACTCCAGTGTTTCTGATGGGCATAATTTTTTTCTGTTTTTATTTTCAGTTCATGACAAAATAGATACACCTTGAATGAAACAGTCATTGCCTATAAATTAGATTATAAATTACGACTAATTTCAGAGTATTTAGTACCAGATTGTCGAAATTGTTCATTAAACTTCTGTGAAAATTACAGATAATTTTATTACAGAAGACAGCAAAATACCAAAAGAAAAAGCTAATTGTAACAAAGAAAAGGAAAGGGAGGAGTAAATATTCAGGGAGAATTGATATTAATTCTTCTACACATCCACAATTTCCATGGAATGCTGATTATATTAAGTCTGTGAGGCCTGTCTTGAGTCCTAACCCCCCTTGCACCAATTAATCGTTCAGAGGTTCTGGCAATGCATTTCACCAGTGTAATTTTTTTCCCCACAGAGGTAAATGCATCCTTTTTAAGAACGATAGTAAACTTGCTCTGTCTCGAATAAGCACTACTTTTAATTCAGAAAAATGAGGTCACTTAAGTAAGTATTGAAACATTACTCTCCAGTATAAGAACTACACCATTGATTAGTTGACCCATAGGTATAGTGAAGATGCTAATTAAGTAAGGCAAAGCAAGAGAAAATAACATTCAAAGATTAACTAATTCTGAATTGCAAGTGAAATTATGGATGACACCGTAGTTCCTCGAACAGAACAATGCTGACATTTTGACTGTATTAATGATCACCAGCATACCTGGCATACTGCTAAGATTTTTTTTTTTGCAAGAAAATCAGATTAACTTATATAAATTGAAAATATTCTGAGTAGGAACAGTTTAGAAATCCAAAGTCACCTTCCCAGTCTAGACACAAAAAAGATACCTGTTTACTGAAATCAATCAAGAAACCAAAGATAAGCATCAAATAATCAGCAGATTATCCATTAATACAATATAAAATCAACAAAAATATGTAGGGCTGCAACATAATCACATCAACTAATTAAAAAATTATGAATATATCAGCCATAATTAGAGCTGGTTTTATAATTATTACATAGAAAAAAAGACTATATTCATTACACAGTCTGCAAAAATAGTTCAATCTGCAATAATTATTAGACCTACCTGCACTAATCATACTCTAGGTAGTGCTAGGGGTGTGGGGGTGGTGTTATTTGTTTGTTAGTTCTTTGAAAATTCCAGTTGCTACATTATTAGTATTATGGTTCCAAGCATTTATGAATTTTAAAGGGACCATATATGATCTAGTGTCACCTCCCGTGTAATACAGGCCAAAGATCATCCAAGTAACTCATGGATCAAATCATCACTTTCACCTAGACTCAGTTGTATCTTTACAGTTCTACATCAAAGTTCTGTTTATGGAGCTTTGCACAGCAATGAAAAAAATCTTCTCCAGAAGTCATGTGTTCTGTGAAGGTCACTTCTGGAAATAAGTGGACACTGCAAAAAGCATATGCATGTGGGCTCCTAAGGTTGTCAGTATTAAAACTGATGCCTTAGTGGAATGCATGACTAATTTTGGTGCTTTGTTTAAAGACAAGCTATTCTTTTACTTATGAAAAATGCACTGTATGATCATGTATTTAAATTACATATGCTACACTGGAATTGTTCGGAAAACTCCACTTAGTGCATAACCTCAGTGGTCTGGAACGTTGGAACGTTTGCTTTTGTTTCTTTCATTAATTTTTTTTTACCAATATTCTCTTTAAAATATTCTCCTTAAAACATTAATAATTTCCCCTTGAAACATGATTCCTTAATAGAGCCAAAGGCTAAATTTTCTGATGGGGTTCAGTAGTTAAATACCTAATACGGAAAAGTTAACAAAAAGAACTAAAGAAAAAAAAAAGATTTGATTTTTAAATACACCTCCTTCAGTACGAGACAGGATGGAATTTCATACAATATGGCTTTGTGTCTAAAACATAATAGCATGTTTTGTCTCACAGCAGTTGGGCCATATAGGAACTTGGCATGCATGATATGGCAAGTCTCAATATTCACGCTTCACTTGCTGTCACACTAATCACTGAGGAACAGTTACTAGCCATGACAGCATACATACTTTCAGAAAATGTGGTGTACAGCAGAATACAGAGAAACCTTTGGCAATGAGCATTAAATAATATATAGATATTGTTTTGAGAAATATTTTTGGGAATATTTTTACATACCCACTCTGATGACATTCGTGAAACACACTGATTTTCAATTTAATCCCAAATGCTACATACCACCTTAGCTCAAGAAAAACAAACACCATATAAACCTGTTTCACTTGAAACATATATGAATCTGACTAGACTTGAGCAGTTGTAAATCTCAATGGATTACAACAATTTGATTTAATTTCAGAAAACAGGCTTAAATGTCTTTCTACTGCAGAGGAAGGTCAGTATTTGGTCAAGCAGAACATGACTAAGATCACTGAAGTTTGCTTTAAGCTCTTGAGAAAAAAAAGTTTGGGGCATGTGCAGTGAACTTCTGAACTTGGGGTGATTTGCTTTTAAATGCAATGAAGAAAGCAGCTCAAATTCACATTAATAATTAAGACAAATGGGCATTGAAACAAATGGAGATAATATGTTGTCTATACGGTCTTAACAGCATGAGGTAAATACTTCCCAAAGCAAAAATCATTTACTGTGCATATTTTCTATGTGAAGATATGATGCTCACAATGTATCATTAATTAATTTCTCAACTGGCACTAATAGCATGGTCTAGAGGAGTGAGGCACCTAATTCCCTTTAGAAATCTCAGCTCTGCTTCTTTATTCTAAGCAATTCTTTGCAACCTGAAATGCTGAAAGACAAAACCACAGTTAACTCGAACAATCACACCATTTAGTAGAGTTTAAAGTTTAATGGTATGAAGAGAACAAACAAACTGGTGTAAATCAGGCAGGACATACGGTAGCCATACACAGCTCGTTTCACAGAGGACACTGTGGTCCCCTCAAAAACAGGGTTCCTGTACAGTTCCTTTGGTACCTCACTACCAACACACCGCCACAATGGTTGTACTCCCCATTTTCACCCAAGTCTGCTTGAGGACAGCAATCTTTCCCCCTTGTCCTTAGCTTTAGCCTCTCCTGGGTTCTGACACTGTACAGCACCATATATTGTAGTTAATGATTTCTTTGCAAATTCATTGCCTTCTGACCAGCAGATACAGACATACCCTCATGTGCCTTGATAGTTCGTATCTCTGAATATGCACGCCATCCTATTAGCAGTAGCTATGTGGCACACAGAGCAGGGCCTACCTTAAGTAGCATTTCATTTTTACAAAACACAACAGCCTTTTCTGTTGTTACAGCCATGCCGAGAACACCTACCGTCTTCAAAGACCTGACGTGCCAGCTCCAGCATGCAGGAG